TAACTAAAGAAAAAGTGACCAGCAGATGACGTAATGGCTACACCACTGGACTCTCATGTAGTCGACTGCGGTTCACGTCCCGGACCCGGTGGCTTAAACTCACTCCGGGTGTGTGTGCGTGCGTGCCCAAGATCCTGAGAGGAGAATGGAGGAGAAGGGATTGCGGCATGGCCATCCCCCCTGGGGGTGATTTCTTCCTTTCTGTCCTTCTGTTTCTGTCTCTTCAGGAAGCTTGCATGACCTATAGCAAAAAAAAAAATAAAAAAATAAAAAACTCTAAAAGAAAAACAAGCTAGTGGTAATTTCACATTAATTCATTGAGTGGCTTTTGTGATCCTCTTGGTGTGGGCTGTCGTTTTCTTTTTACGTACGGGAACTGGACTTTAAAATGTCCCCTCAAGGGGACCAGCAGGTGGCGTGGTGGCTAAGGTGCTAGACATTCCCACATGGCCAACCGTGGTTCAAGTCCTGGACCTGGTGGCTTGCTTTCTCGCTTTCTCTCTCTCTCTGTCTCTCTCTCTCTGCTCAAAATAAAATAAGTAAATGAATAAATAAGATTAAAAATATTTTTTAAAAAAATAAAATAAGTAAAAAATAACAAAATAAAATGTCCCCTTGAAGATAAAGGGGGATGCACTCAGGAACCCTTGGGCCCCTTTGATGGTCAGGCTGTGTCATTCTCCAGAGCATCGTCCAACCACTAATTGGAAACACAAACCTTCATTATGTCAGGGGAAGCTTTCATCTCAGGAAGTTGTGAAGCTACCCGGATATTAACTTTTCACCCTTCCCACTTCCTGGTGAACAACCACGGAAGGACGATTTCATCACCCCATTTGCCCCGGGAAGATGGGCTAGGAGTCTGGGGTTGCTTAAAGCCAAGGAACAAATTGAAAGGCAACCTCACCGGCCATGAAAACATCTATGAAGGGGCCAGCAGGTAGCATGGGACTTAAAGCCCCAGACTCCCACATAGATGACCATGGCTTGAGCCCCAGACCCCGTCGCTTGAAAATCTGCTTTGCAGCAGGAGCCGGCAGGAGGAGGAATCCCAGGAGGAAAATGGACAAGAAGCGATTGCAGTGTGGCCACCCTCCCCGGGGAGCAATTTTTCACTTTTCCTCTCTTTCTCTCTCTCTCTCTCTGTCTCTCTGTCTCTCATATGGTGAGTGCATGCAACATACAGCAAAAACTTAAAACAAAAGCAAAAATATCCTGTTAAGATTCATGAAGTAATATGTTGTAATCACAGAAACTACTATGTGAGGCTGAAGAATAAGAAGACTCTGGTCTTCCCTGAACGCCGCCAATCCCTTCTCCTCCATTCTCCTCTCGGGATCTTGGGCACACACGCAAACATACCCAGTGTGAGTTTAAGCCACCGGGGTCCGGGACTCGAACTGCGGTCGACTACATGGAGTCCAGCCACATAGCCATTACGGCATCTGCTGGTCCCAAGATTTATCCCGATTTTTACTGAAGTCTCTTCTTTCTCTCTTCACTAAGAGATCAGGGACAAGCCTAGAGAGGGTGTGGAGTAAATGTAGCTGCAGTGGAGTCAGCAGGTAGCGTGGGAGTCAAGGTGCTGTATTCCCACATGGCCGACCCCCTGTTCAAGTCCCAGACCAGGAGGCTTGAAACTCACACCAGGTGCACGTTCGGATGTGCCCCAAATCCCAGGAGGAGGATGGAGGAGAAGGGACTGTGGCGTGGCCAACCCTCCCAGGGGTGATTTCTCACTTTCCCTCTCTCTCTTCTTCTCTGGCAAATATATACACCCTATTACCAAAAATAACTTAAAAAAAAAAGAAAGATTCTGATCTTCTCCTGCAAAGACTTCCTGTGATGTTATTCTTTTTCAATGATCAGTATTGTAATAATTAGACATTAGATAAGAGGTTCCTGATGGCTTACTTTCCCGAGTCACTAGGGGAAAAAAACCAGTCAGTTGGATTACTGCTTTTCCTTGCAATTTCTCCTGGTTTCTGGAGGATTTCTAAACACTTCTAAAGAGAAATACAGCGCCAGCCATGGTGTGGTTGTCCAGGTCACCGAACCCCCTTCACAGGAATGCGCATTTAGTTCGAGTCCTCGACCTGGCGGCTTGCAGATCATGCTGGGGGTGTGTGCGTGCATGCCTGGAATCCCCAGAGAAGAATGGAGAAGGCTGTAGTGTCGCCATCCCCAACGGGGACCACTTGCTCATTTCTCTGTCTCTCTGGAGAGCATGTGGACTCTACAGCAAATTAAAAAATATATATAGAGAGAGAAATGTGATTTCTAAAGATTTATTTTTAAAAAAAAAAGAATTATTTATTTAATTTTACTTATTCATTCATTTCAATTTGACCAGAGAGACAGAAAGTGAGAAAGCAAGCCACCAAGCCCAGGACTTGAACCATGGTTGGTGATGTGGGCGTGTCCGGTGCCTTAACCACCATGCCACCTGCTGGTCCCAGATTTCTAAAGATATTTGCATACGTTCCCAACATTACCCTCAAACGGCTTGATTTTCAATAATTCTTGGACTATTACTATCAAATGCAAGGAATAATAGTATAAAAACAGTTTTAAAATAAATCTAGTGCGTGAAGGAGACAAACAAGACCCTCGCTGTTAGACTCTTTCTTTTTTTAAAATGTATTTATAGTCATTCATTGTGTATTCTTACAGCCTGGAAAATGAATTTTCCATCCAGAATACACCCAATCCAAAATATCACCATACCTCTAATCTTTCTCAGCTGAGTTTCCATTTTCTCTTTCTTCTTTTTAAAATTATTTTATCTTTATTTATTTATTTATTTAAATTTGATCAGAGAAAGGGAGAGACAGAGAGAGAGAGAAATTCAGAAAGCAAGCCTCCAGGTCTGAGACTCGCACTGTGGCCGGCCATGTGGGAGTCCAGCGCCCCTAACCACCGCGCCACCTGCCGGCCCCCTCCATTTTCTGTTTCTTAACTGTCTTCCTTCTTTCTTTTTCCCCTTTGACTCCCTCCCTCTCCCCCTCTGTGGTTCTCTTCTAATCTACAGCTTTCTACTAAGCCACTACGAACACGATAATAAATAAAATACGTGTGTGTAGGAAATGTCGCAAAAGAAGCCCGGTCTTTACAATTTTTCTTTTTCTCTTTTTTGTTTTTTCTTCCCTACCATGGAGTGCATGTGTTTGCTGAACACAGGGAAAGTGAGAAATCACCCCCAAAGGGCATGGCCATGCTGCAATCCCTTCTCCTCCATTCTCCTCCTGGGATTTGAGGCATGCACTCACACTCACTGTGTTTCTCAGGCTGCCGGATCTGGGACTTGAACCACAGACTTGCCCATGTGGAACTCAGTGCCTGAACCCAAGGAAGGTTAATGTGGCACAATGATTACACTCACTGTGTCAATCCTGGCTGTTTAAGAAGTACAGAAAAAACAGTAGCATATGCTGTTCATGTTCTATTGCCGGGGCGTCAGCTATATAACCCCCTTCAGGGATGAGAACACACACACTTTCATTTTATTAAATACACACGTACATAGGTAAAAACAGGAGCCAGCCAGTGGTACAGCGGAAATGCAATGTTCCACCCTGCTGGACCCCCCTACTGGTCGTCAGAAAAGTCATGGCATCTTTTTCTGTTTTGCTACGCAAAAAGGTGTCATGAGTTTTCTTTCGTTTGCATCCTGAGATGTCTCCAAACACAGCAGACACACACA